GCGATAAACTCAGTGCCCACCGTTAGTACAGCTGCCACGCATAGAGGACTTGGCACAGGTCAAGGCCTTTGCTGAGTACTTCACACGTTTTGCCTTATTTAATTCTCATAATACCCCCATGAGATAAATGTTACCATCCCGTTTTTACCGATGAAGAGCTTGAGGCTGGGAGAGGAAAGTAACTGGCCCAAGGGCTCACCGAGAAATGTTAAAGCCGGCATGGGAACTCATCTGCCAAGCCAGTGGTCCTCAGCGTGGTCCCCGGACCAGCAGCATCGGTATCCCCTGAGAACTTGTTAGAAATGCACAATCTCGGGCCCATGAGCCCGAGACCGACTGAATTAGAAATTCTGGAAGTGGGGCCCAGAAATCTGGGTTTCATCAAGTCCTCCGGATGACTCTGATGTACTCTCAAATTTCGGGACCACTATTCGAAGCTGTATTCCCTCTCAGTGTATGCGAGACAAGATGGGTGACTTGGCAGAGAAACCTCCGATCAAACAAAACAGTCCGAATAGGATATTGAAGGTCACTGGGGACTGCCCCTGTTGTGAAGGCTCTGAGGAGCCCATCAGCGTGGACACCGGGGCGGGTCCTCCTGTTCCCTGAGGAGCCTGGCCTGGCCCTCTCCCCTGGCTTCACCTCTTTGCCTCGCTCTGCTTCGGTTGTTCCTCCCCCCTCGCCATTGCTCCCCGGGCATTGTGTCCCTGCCGGGGCTCCTGCTGCTGCTTCTCGCTGACCACCCAAGTCCTCCTGCAGCCAAGGCCGCCCCTCGGCGCCAGGCTCTCGTGCAGACGGACGCCGGCCATCCGTCCCCACGTGGATCTGTCCCCACAGACACCGCAACGCGGCAGCACCTGCGCCCTTCCTGACCTTCCTGGCCCTGCCGCTCCGCCTGCCTCCGTGTTCCCAGCACCGATCGGCAGGCTCTCCGTAAAAGTGTGGGAAATGTAAGTGAATTTAGATTTTCTGCTCAAATGATGTTCATTTAAATCTGATCTCACCTCCGCTTGAAGAGGCTGGATTTTGCATTCAGAACCTCGAACTGTAGGAAAGGCCCCGTCTGAAAGGAAGACTCCAGAAGGAGGCCAAGGCACCTGTATCGCTGAAGCCCGTGCCCCGGCACTTTTCTTCAGGAATCAGGCAGTGACAAGCACGGCCACCAGGGGGCGGCATCGGCTTCTTTCCAGCCCCTGGCTGGGCCCTGGGCTCGGTTTTGGGAGGGCTGCCTCTGAAGGGCCCCTGGTAGAGGAGAAGGCACCCATGGACCCTTTCACACACATGCCTTTCTTCCACACCCCTTCTCAGAAGTAGGTTGTGTCTTCTCCGTTTTATTCTTGAGGCAACAAAGTGGGTTTGCCAAATGGGTCTCTGTGATTCCTAAGCGGAAGCTGCTCCTTGGCATCCACTCCCCCGACCCCCTCTCCTGCAGACTCCTCGCCTCCCTTCCTTTGGGCGCCCAGACAGGTACCTGGTTAGGATGCTGTGGAGACAAGGACATCCTCAACCACTTCCTAGGTGAGCTCCCTCCGTCCCCTCCCCTCCGCTACTCCATAGCGTGAGCTGTTGCGGGGGACGGGACCTGGAAACATCTAAGCCTCTTGTTAGGAACTGAGGACACCAGGCTCCAGGGGAAGTGACTTTTCCAAGCAGTCGACAGTGAGGGACAGGACTCCTGATGACTCTCAGCCCAGGGCTGAGCCCGCCAGGCCTTGAGGGGGCCTCTCTCTCCAGTGTCATCCCCACCGCTGGCTTCTGTCTTTCTCCTCCAAGAAGTCCCTCCTTCCCCTGAGAGTTCAATACTACCAGACCTTGCCTAGAAACGCAGAGCTTTATAGGCATTCCTGGGCAACGGCGCATTCACACAACCGCCCAGGGCTCAAGGCCCGCAGAGCAGGGCAAGCCAGGCTCCGGTGGACGTTTGGTTCCCACACTCCGGGAACTCCGAGGACCTTTAATCCTTCCACCCTGCACTCAGCAATTCACGCAAGATTTCCCGACTGCCCTCTGTGTGCAGGCCCGGGGCTGGGCCCTGCAGAGATGCAGGCGAGAAGAAGCAGCTCCTGGGCTCAGGGCTCAGGGCTGAGGCTGGAGGGGAGAAGGCTCCGGTGAGGAACCATGACACAGCAGCTGCAGTCTCATCCGGCTGGGGAGCCAACAGGAGGAAGCAGGTAGTCCCAGCTGGTCTGTCCTTCTGTCTGAAATACTTCCCTGAATGCTTGTCACTTGAACCTTGGCTCTCATGTCACCAACTGGAGAGGGCTTCCTGAGCACCCCCCCTCCAATCTGAAGTAGTTCCCTCGCCCCCGTCGCTCTCCAGCACACCTCCCTGCCTTATTTTCCTTGATGGCATGCACCGCCCTCTGAAATTACCGTCTTTATTCACCGCCTGTCTCTCCCCACTCCCCCCTATAATGTACACTCCACGGGGCCGAGTCCTTATCCATCTCCCTCGGGGCTGTAGGCTCAGAACTTAGGGCGGTGCCTGGCGCCTAGCATGCACTCCACGTATGATGGCTCAATGTGTGAATGCTCCAATGTTCTCCTCAGGGAATCCCCCCCCCCACCCCCCCACCCCATGCGCCAGGTCCCGGGCTGTGATCTTGTGGAGAGAAAGGGCTGCAGAGGTGAGGCTGCCAGGAAAGAAAACGGCCGTTTGGAGGAAGGCTCCCTGGGGCCGGGGCTGGGGTGGGCTGGGGTGGGGACTGGAGTTCCCATTTACAGGAGATGCCTTGGGGTAGGCCCACAGCCTGGTGCCGCCCTGACAAGCTGGGCCCCTTCCTTCACCCCTCCCTGCCCTGCTCCTCCTCCCCATTTGTTCATCAACACCTTCCCTGGCAGACACAAAAGATGCAGGAGGGGGTGGGATTGCCAGTTTCATCTCCTTTATCGGATAATCTAGTGACAATTTCCGTCTTGGGTGTGAGGCTCAGGAGATATAGGAGAAATGTTAAAGAAGTTTCAAAGATTGTGGAAGAAACACGGGACAATCTGGGTGTTTTCAGTTTCTGTGTGTTTTTAGTTTCACAGACATTCTAACACTTTTTCAAAGCCAAGTTTGGCCAATTTCTAGCTGGGTGACCTCGGACAGATTACGCAGCCTTTCTGCGCTTGGTTTCTTCTCTTTAGAATAACCACACTGGGCCGGCCCCGTGGCCGAGTGGTTAAGTTCGCGCACTCCGCTTCTGCGCCCCAGGGTTTCGCCCGTTCGAATCCCAGGCACGGACACGGCACCGCTCATCAGGCCATGCTGAGGCGGCGTCCCACATGCCACAACTAGAAGGACCCACAACTAAAAATACACCACTATGTATCGGGGGGCTTTTGGGAGAAAAAATAAAAAATAAAATCTTAACAACAACAAAAAAGAATAACCATACTTACTTCCTGGGTTGAGTTGTGTATTAAAAAGTATGCAAAGTTCCTAGACCAGAGCCTGGCATGCAGTGGCCACTCAACAGGGTGATGGTTCCCAACCCCTTGACCTGCTCTGTCTTCCCCTCTCCTAACTCACTGTGCTCAGCTCCACCACCGTGCCTCAGCTCCTGCTGCAAGCTGCCCTCCCCCGCCCCCATGGCGGTGTAACAAACTAATTTCCTAAGGTCTTGATCTCTTCGGGGATTCCGGGAGGCTCCCTGCATGGCTGGGGAAACCGGGTGGCTGGGCTTGTAGCAGGGAGGGGAAGAAGGAGGTGGCAAGGCAGGCTGCTGCTAAACGGATGGGAAGCTGGTGGGTAGGAGCTTGGCCCTCCTGCCTGCCAATGACTTCCCCTCCCCTTTTTCCAATGCCCCTCATATATAGCCTGTAAAAGGTTAATTACATAATAAATGCAAGAATCCAGCCTCCTGGTAACGATGGAAATATTAGTTGCCATTTCATTCTCCTTTGATCCCCCGCCCCTCCTTCAATTTTACCCACCTCCCTGAAGGGAGGGTATCACTGTTATCCTTTGGGTCACACCGCCCCTTTGTGACATCTCCTCCTCTTCAGGGCTGCCCAGACTGTATCAGGCTGCAGTGACTGGGGAGATGCCACCCAGTCCTGTCCCCCTCTTAACCGATCCTATATGGGACTAATTAACTTCTAGAAACCTTTCCAGAAGCTTCTAGTTGGCACTTTCTCTCCCTCCTCTGAAGTCCTACAAGTGGCTATCTTACGATTTACGAGGGCCCAACGTTCCGGGTCACTGGCGAGTCTTGTCTCTCGCTAGAGTGTAAGCCCTCTGAGGCCAGGCCCTGTGGCCTGCACATCCTCTATATCCCCACAGGCTCTCTGGCTCAGAGATATGGCCCACGGTATGAATGTGGTCAGTAAACACCCTATGGAGTGAAGAATTCTGTCTTTATCTATTTGAGCAAGGGAGGCCCTGGTGGTGGTGGTGGTGGTGTGTGTAGGGGGTGTGTGTCCTCCTGGCTGGCACTCTGACCAGCAACTGAGGGATTTCTGCTGAGGATGCCTCCCTGATGACAGACGATGGATGGCTAAGTGGTGAGGGGCCCAGGCACTGGATTCAGACGGATCCTTGCTCAGCCACTTACTAGCTACGTGTGACCTTAGACAAGTCATTGAATCCTTTGAAGCTTTCTTCACCTATAAAACGCAGACTACCCCAGGCCCTAACTCACAGCTGTTGTGAGGATCATGAAGGGTAATGGGTTGAGGCTATTTTATGGGGCTCCAGGTTCACACAGGTTTGAACCCTGAATTAGGAAAGATAAAGGAGGAAGACTCGTCCGCATGTCTTGAGTAGACCCCGGCGGCGGGAGTGTGTTGCGGGGTGGTCACCTCTCCTCCTGAGTCAACGCTGCCACGCATGTTCCTTTTGCCCTTCCTACCATTAATGCCGACTTGAATTCCAAATGTTAGAATATGGTAGAAAAGGTCAAACAAAACGGCCACCGATTGAGCAGACCTCCATCACGGTGCTGCTGGGCTGCCGCGCGCACATCTCCACGCCCCGCCCCGCCCCTCCGCCTCGGGGCCGCTGATTGGCCCGCGTCGCGTGACGTCACGCGCGGGCTTTAAGGCGGCCGCCCGGGAGCGCCCCGCAGTGCCGGCGCGCTGCAGGCCGAGCTGGAGGCTGTGCTGGCGGCTCGGTTGTCCGGCCCGGAGCGGCGTGGGGTGAGCGCGGCAGGCGGGAGGCAAAGAGGCGGCCTCGGCGCGGGGCCTGGCGAGCTGCCGTCGGCGATGGGAGGAAAGCGGGCAGAGAGTGTCGCGGGGCGGTCGGGAGGGGGTCGCGGTGTACGGAGGGGCGTGTCAACAGCCTGGGGATGTGGAGGGCGGCTGGGAGCGGGCCTCGCTCTCCGGTCTCAGCACCTGCACCCTAACTCTTAATTGGGGATGCTGTCCGACCTGCCCCTTCCCGCGAGGATTGTCGCCTGCGAGATAGGGGTCGCGGCGTCTGCTGCCGCTCCACACCCTCGGCGAGGGGACGCTGGAAGCCGACCATCCGCCGGATCGAGGCCTCGCCCCCACCTCCGTGTCCCGGGACCTGGGGGTTTCTCTAGGTCTCATCGCCCCTGTCAGGGCCCCCAGGCAGCGGGGAGCGCCTCTGTTACACCTGCGGCTGCTTTAAAAAAAGAAAAGGAATTTTAAAAAGGAAGCAATGCCGACTGATTTAGGAAAGGATCAAGAAGTTGCACGTTTCATGTTTATTATTAAACGTCTCCTCCTTTTTTCTCCCGTGACCTTTCCCTGTTCAGATCACCCAGCCTCTACCGTGAGCCCCAAGACCTGCACTTCAGCCGGAGCTCACCATGGGGAACCACTTGACCGAGATGGCGCCCACTGCCTCCTCCTTCTTGCCCCACTTCCAGGCCCATGTGCCGGCCTACAGCGCTGTGGACGGCTCGGCCTGCAGCCCGGCCTTGAGTGCCTGTATGAAATGATCCTCAAGAGGAAGAAGACTGAAGGTCTTTTGCTTCACCCTGTTTATGAGCCCAAGCAGTACTTCCAGGTGTGAAATGTGTTGCTTCCAGAACCCAAAGAGTTTCACTGGGCCCTGGGCTTCCTTCTCAGTGGTCAAGGGGTAGGAAGAGGAAGCAATTTGCCTTTGCTTTGGAAGGAATGTCCCGTCCGTCGTCATCATCCCAGTTGTCCCCCCGCCCCCCACCCTGGATAACTGGAGCCCCTGTTTCACTGAAGGCTTTACTTCCCTCTCTGACTTTGGGGCAAGGGAATGTGTGTCTCATGGAGGTCCCTGGTGTGTCAGCACCCCCCCCAGCTCATCCTGCCCCATCCTTAGGATGCCATAGAGTGACTCCATCAGGGTCTATGGGACGCACAGGTGGCCCAGGTCCAGAGAGTTCAGGGGACAGAGAGGGGCCTGGAGTGGTAAGGTTGTCTGGGGGGAAGATGTCAGCATATACCTTTGTGGTGTTTTTTTGATTTTGTTTTTGTTTTGAGGAAGATTAGCCCTGAGCTAACATCTGCTGCCAATCCTCCTCTTTTTGCTGAGGAAGACTGGCCCTGAGCTAACATTAGTGCCCATCTTCCTCTACTTTATATGTGGGATGCCTGCCACAGCATGGCTTGACACATGGTGGCATGTCCACACCCGGGATCCCAACCAGCGAACCCCAGGCCGCCAAAGCGGAACGTGCGCACTTAACCGCTGTGCCACCGGACTGGCCCCTATACCTTTGTGTTTCTTTTACCCTGTCAACTCTTGATACTTTGACCGTTTCCTACGGGGTGTTCAGCTGTTTCTTTGTCAGTTTCTAGGATCTCATCATATAATTGGTGAGTGTGCTTTTCTGTAGTATATGTACTTTTTTCCTCAGTTTTTCATTCTTTTGCTTTGCTTATGTCTTGTGTTCTGCAGAGAATTTAGATTTTCTGTAACTCAGGTATATCAATCTTTCCTAAACATTGGGCTTTTGGATTTTGAGTCACCGTTAGAAGGCCTTCCCCAACACCGAACTTATACAATTATCTATTATCTATTTTTTGCCTATTTTCTGTTGGGTGTTCAGCTGTTTCTCATCAATTTCTAGGCTTTCTATCATTGGGCAGGATAAATAGAAACTAATGCCTTGCCTCCGTTAAGGGTATATTATGCTGACAAACAAGTGTGGGAAACTCATGAAAAGGAATGGTTTTCAGGAATTCCAGATTGGGAAATTATTGTGGATCCATGATGACTGACTAACCTGTTTTCTCCCTTGGAGACTAGAAACTTTCTCAGATCAGGGCCCTGTCTTTGTCATGCCTATGGCCCCTGTTCCCCAGTCTTAGCACATAGTCATCACTCAATAAATATTCCTCGAATGGATGAACCCTAATTTATACCCTTCATTCAGGAATTTGACCTCATCAGTGGATGCCTTGGTAGTAGAGGTGTATGTCCCACTCTCTTCTCAAGTCGAAAGCTTCCACCCCTACCCTCTGTGCCTTTCTACCCTCTACACCTACGTAATCCCTGAATTAGAAAGGTCAAATATGGTGCCAGCCCAGAAGCATAGTAGTTAAGTTCCTACGCTCTGCTTTGGTGGCCCAGAGTTCACAGGCCCAGATCCTGGGCAGGGACTTACACACCCCTCATCAAGCCAGGCTCTGGTGGCATCCTGCATGCAAAATAGAGGAAGACTGGCCCAGATGTTAGCTCAGGGTCACTCTTTCTCACCAAAAAAAAAAAAACCAAAGAGAAGAAAGAAGGAAAGGCCAAATACGGTTATTATCAACTGCATTCATCATGTTTTTAAGTTTTCTATATTTCAGGATGCTTTGGCATCTTGAGGGCCTGCCAGCCTGGAAGAGACTGCCCCTCCGGGGCTAGCTGACCCCCAGGGACGGTAACCTACTTGCCTGCGAGCCCGCCTCTCATGTGCAAACGCACCAGTCCAGAGCCCGTGCCCGCACCCCCTCCTTTATTTACTCTCACACTTCTGGCCCATCTTGCCCCTGCCCGCTGTCCTCCCAGAGCCAGGTACCCGACAGAGAGACCACCCCTAGAGCCCACCCGGCTACATCCCAGCCATCCAGTCGGAAGCTGGCTCAGACTTGCCTCCCCTGCCTCGGCCTGTCCTCCCCGGCCCTCCTCAATACAGGCCATGCTTTCTCCTCTCCTGCCTCCCGGGCGCTTCCCCATGTGGCTCTGTGTGGGGTGGCACGCCCCCCTGTCTTGGGAACTATAAGTAATGACACTTCCTTCAACGGTGCTGACCTCTCCTTGTTGTCACTCAGTCACCTGTATAAGTGAAATCCCGGGCACAGTCAACATGCAAGGAAGTGAGAAGCCCATAATTTTTGCCTCGATTCCAGGAGGATCTTTGTGGCTCTCAGCGGGAGCTGCCCGGTACAATCGTCTTTTGTGTGTGAGATATTGAAATCAGCAAACAGGAGTAATGTTAGAGAAATGAAGAGAAGCCAGGAGTTAACATCTTTAAGGAACTAATGGAATGTCCTGGGGGGCCAATGAGTGCAGCAAGGAGGGACATGGGGAATAGAGACTGAAGACATGAGATTCAAAGCTAGTGTTTTTATTCCGTTTCAAGGATGCTGTCTTGGAAGCAGCAAGAAAGAGCAAGGACACCCACTCCCATTCTAGTATGTTGGAGACACACCCCCTGAGAAGGCTGTAGGGGAACCATGTCCTCCACAGAGAGGCCACGTTTGCACAACAACATGAAGAGCATTCAGAGATTAGAGGAGAGAGAATTCTTGGAGAATGGACAGGATTTTAGGAATTGGGAAGAAGTGAAAGATTTGAAAAGGTGATGGGGACAAGGCATGGGATGAAGACACCTTAGAGTTCGTGGTAACAGAAAAAAGTGATTGATAAAATATGAGATTGGTCTGTGTCAGCTTCCGGTGCTAAGCAAGAATCAAGTCCATAAGAGTTGTAGGGTTCCATGAAACTACCCTCAAAACACTGCTCATTAGCAGTGACTGTAAACTACATTCTTAGATGACTTAAAAAAAAAAACAAGTCCTATAAGAGAAAATTAGACACTCACCTAAGCAGCGACCTTTTGGATTGTTTCCTATTGGTAACACCATGGGTTGCAAAATCATCCACGTTTGGAACCACGTGGCTAAAAAGTGTCTTTTAAAGAGACAAAGACATATTTTTTATGGAAACATTCTACTGATCATCGGCTTTCCTGATAAAAGAGATAATAGTCTGTTGTTAACCTCAAGTTATTTCCCCGTGGGGGTGCACCGTTCCTGGAGGTACTGCAATACCAGGTGGATACGCGGAGTGGACGGAGCAAGCTCCTATTCCATCTCCCTGTTCCAAAAATCCATTTAATATATTGTTCTCAAATAGAGAACGTATCAGATATTAAACTGATAAGAACAGATACTACACTTGATCTTAGCCAAAAGGCCGAGAAGCGACGTCTGTCGCCCGTCCCCTCCCCGCCGCCGCCCTCCTCACATTAATAGTCAACTCACGGTGAGCCATGTCACCCTCAATAAAGATGTCATTTCCTTAGTATCTTGACACTCATACATTAGTCTCTTGTGACGAATTTTAAATTCTCTACTTTTTTAAGTGAAAAAACTTTAAGTGAATTTTTATATCTGCTTTTGCCGCTTGTTTGAAGCGCCATGTGTAATTTGCATGCCCCGCCCTCCCCGCGCGGGTCCTCCTCCCCCGGTGCGGCCGCCCTCCGCGCGCAGAGGCGGAAGCTAGCTGGGGGCGAGCTCTTTCTGGGTACAAACTCTCGGGGAAAGACACAACCAAAGGGAGTTGCGGGGCGGTGAATGGAGAGATGGGCGGAGCGAGAGGGAGTTGGAGCAGCGAGCTCCGAGTTCCGGAGAAAGCCCCGTGGTCATCACTATGAGGACAGCAGGGTCCCATGAGCTGGCTCGCTCCAGGCCGAAGGGCTGGGAGCCTAGAAGGGCCCGTCTGGAGTCGCCTGTCAGGGGCTGCAGAGAGCAGTTGGAGCTTAGGTCGAGCCCTGGGAGGGCTGCCTTCCTGGTCATCAGGACCCCTGCCTTTCCCTTTTGGCAGGGCCCTTGGGCAAACTCCTTAACCTCCCGAGCCTCAGTTTCCCTAGCTGAGAAGTGGAAACCTTGATGCCTACCTTGTGGGGTTGAGGGAGCATAAAGGGAATTAATGAGGCAACCTTGGTTTAGTAGTCTAGAATGCGGGTTCTGGTGTCCGACGAGTTTCCGGTGAAGGGGCATGGCTGTGACCTAGAAACAACTGAGTAACTGTATTGCCTATAGAGAGTACAATAGGAAACACTGATTGTCTGGGCCAGGCTTTGTACTATGTGCTCTCCTCTTGTCAAACTTGCAGAGTTTACCTACAGATGCAGCAGCTGAGACAGAGAGGTTAAGCAACTTGCCCAAGACCACACAGCTTAGTTAGTCAAAGGGGCCGGATCTGCCTATGAAGCCCAGAGCATGGGGCCTAGAAAAGGGCACCAAAAGAAAGAGCAGTTTTGGGGCTGGCCCGGTGGCTGAGTGGTTAAGTTCGCATGCTCTGCTTCGGTGGCCCAGGGTTTTGCCAGTTCAGATTCTGGGTGCGGACATGGCACCGCTAATCAGGCCACGTTGAGGCAGCGTCCCACATGCCACATCTAGAAGGACCCACAACTAAAATATACAACTATGTACTAGGGAGCTTGGGGGAGAAAAAGAAAAAAATAAAATCTTCAAAAATCTTTAAAGAAAGAGCAGTTTTTCTTGTGTCCAGCCCACTATGAGACCAAATGTTGCTGAGCCTGACACACAGGTCTTTTGTCCACAGAGAGGCAAGAACACAGCCATCTGGTGCAGGAGCTAGACTTGGAAGACCTGGACTCTACCCCCTGTTTACTTCTTAATAACCATGTGACCTAGTGCACGACTTGGCCTCCTTGCTTAACCCCTCTGCCTTTGATATGTTTATCTGTACATTGAAGATAATGATAAGAAATTATTAGACATAATTATTAGGCATGAGATATGTCTGGCGTATAGTATATCTTTTTCTTTCTTTCTTTTTTTGGTGAGGAAGATTGGCCCTGAGCTAACATCTGTTGCCAATCTTCCTCTTT